ATGGTGCATGCCAACAGGCTTTGGCGTTATCACGGTTCAGGACATTTCAGTTGGGATGAAGTGGACAACAGAACAAATGATGCTGCTGAAGACGTGCCACATGAAGAAGCCACCATCGAAGAAGAAACTCTACTCAGTTTTGAGAAGGGAAACGGTGAAGCTCTTGATAAAGTTACTACTACTGATATGACTGTTACCAACGATAGGACATTTCTTGATGAAGCAGATGAACCCCACGTGAAGCAGAAGCCAACAAGACGGAAATCAGTGCTGAAAAAGATACGTCCCGTAAAATTAAGAGACTTTATTGAATTGTAATTTTGTGATTGTAATTCTGTACATTTAATTAAGTTATTGTTAATTGTTATTGGTTTATTGTAAGTGGCTATTGTTCGGGATGAACAATAGTAAAGAGGGGGCAGTGTTGCGTCAGCGAGGTCATGTGACTCGTTCTCTCGAATTTTCGGGAATTGTCGGGAGATTACTAGATATAGGGTAGTCTGGTATATATAAGAGGGTGACAACGTGACGGGACGATAATGTGTGTGTGTAGGTAGTGAGTAATTGATCTGCAGTGAGAAAGTATTGTTGAAGTTAACGTTCGTTATAGCGTTTGTTTTAGTGCGAATGTTGAAATCAAGTGTATCGTGAAGTTATATTCAGAAAGAATAAACCAGTTTTATTAAGTAAGTTAATTAACAAACGGAGACGTAACAATACTTACCATGGTTTGAATTAAACAAACAAAAGAAAATAGGAATGATGAACTCATAAGTCAGTTGTTAATTAACATTTAATTCAGTACAGGTGTGATGATTAAAAGCAGCAACATATAATGGTACTTTTAAAACAACTTATTAATTACTGTCCACATCATTAAGTTCACAATGGTTATGGTGAATAAAAAGCAACAAGCAATAGTACCAGTACAACCACTGACCTGTAGTTGGTTAATACCACTTTGTTTACTATGGTTATGAGAAATGAAGAAGCAGCATACAACAGTGCTGAACAAACTCTGATTAACTTTGGCACAGGTTGAGTCAATGATGTTATTTCTTCCTGCTGAATGTGAATTTTTATGACATCACCATTTGACACTGGTAAATGGCCATTCTTGGAAGACATACCTACTGAAATATTAAAATAAATACTTTTATAAAAAAAAAGTAATAATATTCACACCATTATACACAAAGTATCTAAATTCAAGTTTTGAATATCCTTATAAGTTTCAACTAATGTAACATTGTATTTTGCCAACCTGAATTATAAACCTAAAAACATTAAGCTTTTGAAAAGATAATCAGTAATTGTACTTTTATTTTTGGAGTACTGATAATTACATTGTACAAAATGAATAATACATATACAATTTTAACGTAGTGAATATATTTAAAATAAAACTTCTGCATGAAAAGTTTCTTTTGATTGCTATTTAATTCTTGAAGTTATCCTTCTTTTAGTCAAATACATGCATTTAACTTTTATTCAATAATATACATTAAAGAGAATATTTCTGGAAACACATACAATAACAAATTCTCTTATGTTCTTAAACCAGATAAAAGTCCCAAGATATTGTGCTGAATGCCATATCATATTAAATATTTGACTTGATTTCTGTATGAAATCCATACTAACTACATGTATACTTCTTTGTTATATACTGTCACATTCAAACAATGGCATTATATGGATGTTTGAAAATAGTCCTTTAAAACCTGAGGCACATGTGTTAATATTATATTTTTCCACAAATAGCTTTTACTAATGTACATGTATTTCCAGAATATGTGTACCGACATATTAATTCATATCCTCCAGTGTTCCAGTTTCAACAGTTATTACAACTTTATATAATAATAGAGACTGATCCTATTCATTCTTAAACACAGTTTAATCCAATAGCTACAGTTGTAATATATATTTAATCCTTCCAGTTCACTTGGAGTTAATTGAATTTCCTCAGATATATGCAAGTTTTATCTCTCTTTAAGTTCAGAATTTTTTACTGTTAAATATTTGAACTGCTGAAGAAGCATTAACAGATATACAAATATAACACCATGAGGAGGGTCAAGGTGACAAACATTTACTTAGTACAAAATACAAACCCAAATTAAATGAAAATGTGGAAAATCATTGTGAAAAAGCACACTGTTAGGTTACACCCATGATATATTGCACATGAAACTTCATGATTCCAATCACAAAAGAATGCAGATGTAGTTATACAATCCTCATTATTTCATTACAGGTTTTAAATAAAAGGGAGGTAAAAATAGTTTTAAATTATATCTGTATAACATATCAAGGTGTTATGAAACCTGCTTTCACAAGGGTTTGAACCTGGGCCATTTGGCTTACAGCAGTGCTGTTCTGAGATTGATGGTCTTACCAACTGAGCTATAAAAGCTAAAGCTCCAAGCAGACAATTCTTCATCCTTAGTGTTAAATAATTTCTCTCATTAAATAATATTCATCCTTGAACTAACAGAACTTTCATGCCAGAAACACTAACTCATATACAAATACGACACACTTAATCCACCATTGAGTCAAGCCTAATATTTTAGAGTGTACAATATAGAATAATTTAGGGATTCTACATGTACCATTTAAAGTTGTTAGATGTTAAAACTGACTATTCTTCCTATGAATTGTCTGTTTCAGTAGTGATACAAAAAATGGAAATGAGAAACTTAATAATAAGAGTTACAGATGTTCATATAATTTTTAAAAGCCTGTATAGTTGTAGACTTGTTGTTTAACAGAATTACATTTTTTGAGATTCAAGTTGTGAATTTATGAAATCTGTTTGCATGATTATACGATTTATTTTAAGATAATTATTTGACAAGTAATATCAGTTGTTATGTTTAACTTAAATTAATTCCTTTGATTTATTTTTCTGAATGTTTGTAATAAAGCACAAAGCTACACAATGGGCTATCTGTGCTCTGCCCACCACAGGTATCGAAACCCGGATTCTAGCATTGTAAGTCCGCAGACATACCACTGTGCCACTGGGAAGCATTTTTTTCTGAATGATGGACTAAAATGGTATATTTCACTTTGCTTCTTTTACATGAATATTCTTAAATAATACAGTGAAAATTACAAGTAATTCCAACTTCAGCTTTGTTAAAGCCCTTATATAAACATTACTTTAATAATTCAGAATTTCTTATTTAATAGCAAAAATCTCTATTTTAATCTTATAGCAAATTATTCTTTATATTAGAATAATCTTACAAATATAAATATTTTTGTTATTTAACTATACAAGTCTTCTTCAATGAAAGGTAAAGTTACCACTTAAAACAAAAAGCAAAATGTAATACCAGTCAAAATTTTAAAAACTCCCTTTCCTGTATCACTGATTTATTTTCAAAAAAATATTTTTTCTTTTATAAGTTTTATGCTATAATGTAATGAATAACAAACCAAGAAAATTTTCCTGTTTAGGCACATACCTGGTAATCTTCGGCTATTCAACTTCATCATAGAAAGTAGTTTTATACAGATAAATCAGTGTAACAATTGCTGCAGTTTGCCAAATTACTACTATTGTATTACAAAGCCATACAATAAAAATGTTCTGTATTACAGCATAGCTTTTAATTAGACCAGAGCATATAATGTTGAGACAGACACACTTCAGGTCAAACTGCAACTACCCACCATCATGTTAGATGAGGTAAACATGTAGTCACATGTGCCTTCAAACATAGAACACCTGTCTCATGAAACTACAACTGAATTTTGAGCAACTACTTTATAAAGACTGTAAAAGAGAACAGGTGTTAAATGAAGTCAATTATTATAGACACAACATCTTCAGATTATTTCATACAGGCTCAAAATGAAAAAAACAAAATACTTTTATCTTGTTTAACAGAAAATTATAAAGAAGAGATTCACTGTATGAGAAACTTTAATAGACTGCACATATATGTGAAGCTGAGAACATGGCCACCAATGTCTAGCACAGGTCTTCATAATCTCATTCAAGTTGCTTTGTCATTATATATTGTGGCAACATGTTATATTGTTGGGTGAGTTATTTTGGGATTATTTGGTAAAACTAATGCATAACACTAATCAATTAACTTATTTCTTCAATAAGATTTGCCACAGGCAGTATTTATGCTTTACTATATATATATTATTTTAACATGTTCAGCTGTTGGGTGAGTTATTTTGGGATTATTTGGTAAAACTAATGCAAAGTCCAATCTACATAACAACTAATGAATTTATTTATTTATTTAATAATGCTAGCTGCAGGCTATGCTCACTTTGACACAAGTTGCAGTTCACAAACAAACTTTCCAACACACACTCTGAAATTACTATAGGCCTAATACACTAATACCATTTCTTGTTTGATAACAAATCCTGACTTACTGAAGAACTCAGAGAAGCACTAGCTCTCACTAAATAACTTTACTTGATCCATCTTCTCTTGATCATTCACATACACACAGCATACCTCATTGAATTCTCAAACACTACTCAATAACTTCTCAACAAATACTTCAAATTCTCAATCCCTGAACTAACTGAACTTGTATTTATAATTAATGTATGCCTACCTAGATATTAGTTGAAGTTATAGATTCTTGACATCATCACCTGTGAAAAATTTTGAGGTATTCTAGGGCTACTTTTATGAACTTACTTGACCATAAAGTCATGCATCATCTAGCAAACATTTAAAGTTATTATTTTCTTATACTGAAAATATATTTCCAATAGGTACTTAACTCCATCATATTCTTGTTCAGTGCTACCCTCTACAAGCAATTTATTTTTTTACATGCAAAAAGCCTCGAACTTCCATGTACATGCCACTGGAGAGATAAATATATATATATATATATAACATCTAACTTACCCAGTCACAGTAACATCGTTGATTGATGGATGGCAACAGGTGGAGGGCAGTACCCTGATAAGGAAGAAACAGCTACCCAATGAAGATAGTGGGAGATGAACATATGAGGTGTTGTCCACATGCCTTACTGAAGAATTTCCTCCAATGGACAATGGAGGTGAGCTGCCAGAGAAAAGGGAAGGTGCCAAATCTGATGCGACAACACCTGGAATAGATTTTGGGTAGAAAGAGACAAGGAGGAATATACCAATCTAATCAGTTGATAAACCCAACTTGTAAGGGTAGAAGAAAAATTGTCATATACAATTCAATGATGTCAGGGAATAAGAACCATGAAAGAAGGCCATGCAGGCAATGGAACAATGAAGAGTATATAATGGGCATAGAAATCTATCCAGAGCATACTAACAATAAAGGTGGGAAATGGATGGAAGAGAAACTTGCGAAAAGGAAGAATGTCCCACATAAGCTGCTGAGGTTATGGATAGGAAAGATCGATAGGGATAAAGAAGAACATATGTGGAATGGAACAGAGTACATGAAACTTTGATGGCAAATATATCAGACCAACAACACCCACAGGCTAGAAAGAAGTAGGAATAAGTCTGAATGGGTTAGTGAAACACAGAACATGAAGACACAGGTTCAAATGGAAGGATTGGAAGGTAATGAATAACAATATTGACATAACAATCTGGAAGAACCACATGACGAGGAAGTCTACAAATCCAGAAGGAATGCAAAAGGTACCAGTTGGCCAAGTCTCGACTGAGAACATCCACAGTCAAGGCCTGAGGAACTGTAGAACCAAAAAAGAGGTAACTTGGTGTTTAAAAAAAATAGCAATAGCATCATCCAGATGAGAAGTACCCTACTGAATGCATGGCCACTTGAGGAAGATTACAAATCCATGAGGAATGCAAAAGGTACTGCTTGATCAAGTCTCAACTGAGAATATCCACAGTCAAGACCTGAGGATGAGGAACTGTAGAACCAAAAAAAAAGAGATAACTTGGCATTTGAGAAAAGTGGCAATAGCATCCAGATGAGAAGTACCTTACTGAATGCATAGCCACTTGAAAACTGAGAGTTGAGATACCACACCATGGGATAAACCTGGTCAGGTATTGAAAAATGAACCACCAGAAGGTGAGAAGCACCTGGAACATGACACACAAGAAAACTTGTCTGCAGCATGTAGGCCCAAGAAAGGAGTTCTAATGTTCAACCACAAAGGGAATGGGTGCCCCCTTAGCAAATGATATAGATCACAATGGTGTAATTGTCACAATGGAACATGACATGTCAGATCTGTACCAGAGGAAGAAAGTACATCATACCATCAAAAGCTCCTAGATGTTGATATGGGCCCATTCTCCCCAACCTTGGAGAGAAGCATCTGTGACCAGATGCAAATCTGGACAAGGTAAAGTAAGCAGTACTCCCCTCATTGTATTGTCCTTGTTCAACCACCAATGTAGATTGTCTGCAAGGGAAGGAGGAATTGTAATTTGGGAGTCCAAGGGATTCCAAGCAAGAGTCCATTGGCCATGCAGAGAACACTGACGAGAACACACATGTGCCCAACTCAAAAGAATAAGGACTTCCATAGAAGCCCAAATCCCCAAAAGTAATAGAACCTTGAATGCAGAAACAAAGGGACCAGTAAGTGCATGGAGAACTGAAAGCTCCATTGAAGAGAAATGAAGTAGAGAAGGTTGGGCCCGAAGGAGATGGGCAAATAAAAATACACCCAAGTGGATAAAATATTGGGTAGGCAAAAGGAAAGAATTCTGCAACTTAAGAATCCAACCAACACAAGCTTCATCTATCAGCAGCAGATGTGGATATTGAGAAGACTCCAGTTCGGGAAAGTGCTAACAAGAGCAATTTCTTCTATGTAGTAGTGTGATTGCAACTCTCAAGCATGTATAAGTGGGCAAAGGCCTTGATCATTCAATAAAATACATACAGTGCTGAATCAAGCATGAAAGGCAAAGCCTAAAACTGATACACAACCCCATAGTGGTCAAACCAAAGATAGGGTCTGAACTGATGAGAAATAGGAATATGGAGATAGGCATTCTAGACGTCTACTGAGATCGTCTGAAGTCCTGGAGAAAAAGCCCAACCTGAGTGTGATAAAGGACTCCATGGTAAATTTGGGAAGATCCAGAAATTTGTTGAGGCAGGACAGATGGATTACAGGATGCTAGTGCCCCAATTTACTTTGGGGACAAAAAAAGGCCTAAAGTAAAAACCTGGAGAAGGCTAGCTGACAGACACGACAGCTCTCTGTGATAGAAAGGTCTGCACAGCCTCGATTAGACACAGACTGGTAGTGGGTTTCCCAAGTTAAGAAGAAGGAAAATGATACAGGAGATAACAGTGGTGGGGAAAGAAATGGATGAAAAGACCTTCTGACAAAATGTTGATCATCCAAGAATCAGCAGAATACCCACCACAGGGAAATAAAACTGGCTAAATGTGCCCTCACCAGACATGAAAATACCTAATAAACAATAGAACTGCTGGGGACGATGAACCTGACATTGAGACACATGGTGAAATTTTTAACCCCTAGAGGTAGGAACTGGTAAAAGATGAGAGGCTGAAGGACAAAAAACAATTATGGGAGAAATCATGGGAGCAGAATAAGACAAACAAGCAACTGAAGTCTAAATGGTCGAATGTGGTCTCACAAATTCCACACAATTCCAAAGATTCAGGAAAATCTCCAAAAACAGAACAATGGAGAAATAGAGCCAACTGTAAGTCATGGAAGGTAGATAAACCTGTGATAAGACAGCATCCTTCCCAATAAGATCCCAACACCAATGAAACCACGTTTGAAGAGATAGGGCTGAAGAAGACAATCGTGCCAACATGGAGGTAAAAAGGGGAAAGAGTATCCCCAGAAAATCCCTCAGGAGATCAGTGGAGTACCTCAGAAAAGGAGATGTATGTTGGACAAGTACTGTAGAAGAACTGTAAGGAGAAGATGAAAACAGGAAATTGGGTATGAGAGAAATGGAGAGGATTTTCAGGGACAGCCCACCACATTGGCCAAAGTGACTCTAACTGCTGTGAGTCAAGAAAGGGTTGATCTGCCAGCTGATAAGCTAAAGCATAATGGTCATAAGGCCATGGAGGATGAGGCATGATGATTTACAGGCAAGACACAATTGAACCCTGTTGATCTTGGGGTATGTAGGAGTTCAAGGCTTGTGAGATGCAAAAACAAATTGCATATAGAGGGCAGCAATGAACTAGAATAGCTATACATGTGAGAAGAGGTAATGTACCACATTGAAATAACACCAGCCCTCCACTGAGAAATGAAATTCCCAATATGAACCCTGATGTCAGGGGGAAGGAAGGAAAATAAGGTACTCTTCAGACAAGTGTCATGTAACAAGGAAGGAACAGTATCCAATGAAGTTGGAGAAATCCCATCCAAAAAGCAGAGTTAGGCCCAGTATATTCCGCAGGAGAGGTATAGGAAGGCATGGCATAGTTACAAGGAAAAAGCAGTCAAAATCCTCCTCGACATGAACAGGTTCAGACAATACAGGAGGAACCAAAACAGTTTCAGGAGAAGAAGAATGACTTATATAACAATCAATCTCTTGACAAATGATAGCTGAAAAATCTTCAGTCAAAACACCCAGACCTGAAGTCTGTGTAATGGCACTCAAGCTAGTGGTACAAATACAAACTTCGGAATTCATCATAAACTGTGAAGAAGTCGATAATGAGAAAAATCAATAAACAAAGGTAAGTTATTGCAGCAAAGTACTACAGAAAACTAACTGTAGTAAATGAATAAATCCAGTAAATTACTACTTCACACACACAAAAAAAAAATTAACTGAGCATGTGATAAGAGCACAACTGAAAAATATCTGCACTTGATCACTGCATAATGAGAAGTGATAGTTCAGTAGAACCAAATAGAGGGAGTCACATGCATCAGAAGGGTGTGTCACACTCCTATTGGTGGAGAGTTGTTGCATGATGATTTACATGCAAGACACAATTGAACTCTGTTAATCTTGGGGTATGTAGGAGTTCAAGGCTTGTGACATGCAAAAAAAAATTGCATATAGAGGGCAGCAATGAACGAGAATAGCTATACATGTGAGAAGAGGTAATGTATCACATCGAAAAAACAAAATAAAAATATATCATAAAACAATATGTTCAGATATTGTGATGTTCATTTTCTTCTGGACATGACATATTTGTACTATAAAAGGTATATCTGATTTCTATATACTAATATTGTAATTAAAACTCACAATTTTGCCAAATTCTTACACTTACACTATCACAAAATACATCCTTAACTTCACAAAACATTAGCTGTTTTCAATAACGGTGAAAATTTTTTGATAATCTAATGGACCTAACATGATGAAAAAATACATATTGTTACGTCTCTGGTTGTTGGTTAATTTTCAGTAGAAATTATTTCCGAAAAAACTTCAGCGATACAAGTTCTTTCTTAAATAAAACTAGTTTATTCTTTTTAAATTCAACATTGCAAAACACTTAATTTCCACAGTCACTTTAACTTAAACGCACGCTATAATTCACGCACTTTACTTATGGTCACTACCGTGCTTGACTCAATTGTTCATCTTTATCTCTGCCTGTCTGCAATTCAATTCTGATTAATTGTTTCGCTTTATCTGGCATGCTTATATACAGGAATAGAGGGCATCTAGCAAATACTGGATTATTCATGATGTTCCCCAATCCTTCTAGAAACTCATCACGTGTTACCAGCGTCATGTGACTTCCGTTGTCGTAACAATATTTTTAGCATCGTTACAATACATTAATCATACAGAGTACAACAAACAATGTTTTCAAATAAAAAAAATATATCTTCCATAAACAAAACCACCAACAAAACAAAATGCAAACAATCTCAGAACCATTTTCTTCAATGAAAAATAAGAAAAGCAAAATGACAAAAAACTATTTGACCCATCAACATCACTTCTATGTCTTCCTTTCAGAAACCTCAACCCAAACACCACATTTGTTTTAATCAATTGTCATTTCTCCCATAAACTTTCACTTCACTTCTAACAAATATCATTATTAACCTCACTGTTTACTTTACAGAAGACCTAATAGCCTTGCCAAATAATATTTTCATATTCTTCATATAATCAAGAATCAGTGAAAAAAATGACATCTAAAATGCTAGTATCCATAACAACACATTTAACATGTCAAAAATATGTTTCATTATTAACAGTCACCATTATCTATTATCAATTGTTGTTGTCCATTTGTTTGTCCTCAAACTCATCCCACAGTTTTGGAACTAGCAAGACCAAACTTAGCATGCAGATTTTGCATTTCTGGCCCCCATCAAGATCAAAAGATTGTCATGTTTGAAACTGTGTTTATAACCTATCTCACAAGCTAACAGGACCAAACATGGCAATGTGTTCAGGTACCATAGGTGGTTGCCTTAACAGATTTTCTTTTTTTCTGGTACATATAGAAATAAGAGATGATGGAGGAACTTGATCAATACACTGGAGCCATTAAACCCCACAGTGATATATGGATATTTTATGCTACTCATTTTAAACAATGAACAACTTGAAACTTACATTATTAAAATAAATATAAATCACAAGTAAATTAAGATTCCCAAAACTACCTGAACTGAACAGCTTTAAACGAACTTGAACAGGAGGATAACGATCTCAATATTATCTATGTACATTTTAACCATGCAACAAGCATATAGTCACTGAAAATGTTTTCACTTCTTGTATGCACATGGTCAAAGACTGTGAGAAACAACATGTGCTATTATAATTTAATCAACAACCTTCAAATTATCACTAAGATCCTCATAGTTTAACCTAGATTAAACTTAAAAGAGTGATAGAGACATTGCATTTTGCATTGTGATTGGACACAAAAACATTGCACACAAAGTTTGATGCAATGAAGGTGAACACAATCACCTTAGAACTTAGTAGCATTTAAAATACAGCTTACATTATTCAAATGTTTGAGAAATACAACTTATATCTTACAACAGTAAATCTGAATAAAATAAATTTAAAAGCTTTCCATAAAAAACTTATAAACATGCAAACACTACATTTTAAATTGGAACAAGATACACTCAGTTAAAGTATAAAATTTTTAAAAACTTAAATTCAACAAATTTCTTCAAATTTAGAAAACTTCGTAACTACACACCATCATACATGAAAGAGTTTTTTGCATTACAAAATGGCCTTGTTGCCTTGCATTGATAACTAAGTCTCACATGCAAAATATTAATAAGCATGATTAGAAACATAGTATGAAACAAACACATTTGAGGTTATTTTATAGCTAGATGTCATATAATGAAATTGACAAAAATCTTTCTTAAAAAAGAGATTTCAAAGCCTGAACAAAAAATCTAAATCAATCAATGATTTATAAACACTGGAAATAACCCTACTAAGTAGGACATATAATATCTTTTGTTTTCCAAAGATGAACTAAATAATAAATTAACACACCAAGTTTGCATTGAATCTTTTGCAAGAAATGAATTGTTCATAATTTGTTCTATTTCTCATTTGTCTCCAAGAAACTTAACAAGGACATTTTTATTTTTAATGTTGAATAGTATCTTTGACATTTTAAGAAATGTTTCATAAATCACAACTGGTCTAGAATTATTGATTTCAGAACTTCATCTACTGCTCGGTGTTAAAATATAAAAACTCTTATGAAAATATTTTCAAAACCCAGTTTCAAGACTGACCTGTACTGTAAATCTATTTAAATTTCATGAAGAAGCTTCTGAACTAGCTTCCAAAAGAACTGTTCATATTTTAATGTTAGAATTTAATTTTTGTGTTCTAATAACAGCCTAAATTTCCAATGTACTTGTAACCTTATATTTGATTACTGTCATTGCATACAGTGCTACAATTAATATTATTTAGAAAATACTTTAACAATGAAACTTGAATTTGAATGTAAAATTGTAAATGTCTGACAATAACATTTTCTTGTAACCATGACAATCACGCAGTAGCATAAGACTTGACCAGTAGTTTGCACGTACACTGTGTATCGATTGTTCCAACAGAAGTTGTAACAAAATTTAGTTTGTTTTAGTAATTTTACAAAATAACAAATTTTAAAGGCATAATTCTTTCAACCATGCCATGTTCATTATTTCAATTCAAATGGGTATTAATATTACTTAACAATATATATTAATTTAATATTTAGTACAATAACCCTAGATAAGTATATTTTTAACATTACTGACTACATTTAAAAAAACTGTAATTTGAGTGTAAAAACTTTGCTCACCCATCCGATGTCTAGGCCTCCGATGTCACTCAAAATTTTCAAAATATTTGACTCGAGCCACGATTGTGATTTTAATTTTTATACTCTTAACTTCCAAGTCAAACACAAAGTATTTCAGAATCAGATGGTGCTTTTCTAAAGAGTAAAGTGTAACTTTAGCTTATAATTTATATCAACTTCGCGTACATATAATCATGACATAAGTATGAATCTAATATTCTATTTTATGATTCGTCTATGTACGGTACAAATAAAAATTAGCTTTCAGTTTGAAAGTCAAATGCGAACTAATCTTAAGTGAAACTTGACCTCCACTTCTATAACTTATAAGCCTTTCAAAAAATATAACGCTATTATCGTCGGTTTTCACTGCCAAGTTTAATAATAGTCACGTGACATGGCACAACTATTTAAAAACATCTGTATTTGCTAATGTTGCTATGGTAAATAAATATCTAAATTATAATACGTCAGCAAGAGGGCTAAATAATTTATGTTGATCTATATATCAAAAGGTAGTTGTGATTGGTGTGATCAATCTGAAGTTTTGAGAACGTGGTTATCAAATATAATTTGCGAGAAATATCGTTATCAGTGCTTCTGGGATACAAAGGGTCAGTTCCACTCACGATACAGAATAAACAGTCTGTAGGAAAAGTGGAGTGGCTATTGTTCTCTTACATAAACAACTGGGTTTTATTTTCACTTCAAGTTTCGAAAACATCTTGATACTTTTAGTCAGACTAAATTCTAATAACCTTATATTTATCAACTAAAACAAACAAGCTTTAAAGCATGTAGACGTTATTCACGTCTAATTAAAAAAACGTACACCGTTGTGCCAAAACATTGGATAAATTGTAAAACCTCGAGAAACTTCATGGATTTGTTTCTCCGTGCACTATCACTATAAAATAGGATTTTCATCTCCACGTACTTTTTTAAGTATTTTTATTTGTGTTAAAGTCGCATAGACAATTATTATATAATATGAGAAACAATCCAACAATTAAAAACAACGAATTCCGACGTATTCCTCATTTTTAAATGTTGAACCTGAACAGTGATTTCTTCGGTAAGAAATATAACTTATACCCTATGGAAATCCTTATTGTATCAGATGACTTATATAAGCCCCCAGTGGCACAGCGGTATGTCTGCGGACTTACAACGCTAAAAACCGGGTTTCGATACCCGTGGTGGGCAGAGCACAGATAGCCTATTGTGTAGCTTTGTGCTTAACTACAAACAAACAAACAGACAGACTTATATAAATTGTGTTCCGACTACTGCTGTATTCTTGTATACCAACCGGCCCGAACATCTCTTGACTGAGCGAAACACATCGTCTGCAATGACAAATACAATGTGGTTGGAATACTATTATTATATACTCTTCTAATTTTTAAAAATCATTAAGTGACTAATTAAGAACGTTGTGTTTTAAAATTTAATAGGCCTAAACTAATTCCTTATAAAAATGTAATAGTAATTTATACTCTTTGTTAGCTTTCTAGATTGACTGTTGTTTGTGGGTACATTGCTTGGGTGGCGTTATCGCAATAATAATAATAATAATAGATAAATAAAAATTACATTCCGTACTTTCGAGACGTGAATGTATTATAAGGACAATTAGTAAATCTAATTATATGGTTAAACTAGAGTAGCCCAATAGTTGGCGATGGGTGCTGTTAACTACATGCTTTCCTTCTAGTCTATAAATTAACATTTAGGGATGGATAGTGCAGATATCCTTTCTTAGTAGTTTTGCACAATTATTAGAAAACAACTGCTGCGTATATGCTCGTTTGTTAATTTCCAGTATAAATTCTTTCCGAGGAACTTCAGCGATACAAGTCCTTTCTTAACTAAAACTAGTTTATTCTTTCTCGATACAACTTTGTAATACACAGAATTTCCACAGTCACTTTAAACGTAACTACTTTTATAAACACAGGCTAAAAATCACAGTGATTCACTTTACTTGTGGTGCCTACTGTTTGTTTCACTCAATTATCTCTCTCTATGTCTATCTATGCAGTTCTCTTCTATCAATCTCTTCGCTCTATCTCGTGCTGAATTTACTCGCAAGGCTTATATATTAAAGCCTTAAACTATTATGGGATTGACGCAGTACAACTTCCAGTAACTTTCTCAGTATAACTGTATGCAGGTCGTCACTTTCCCATTTACAGGTTCCCATCAATGGACCAGACTACCGTATTCAAGCTTTCACTGGTCCCACTGTGCCCAATAGTTCTTTGTCACAGGGCTTACACTAGACACCTTCTCCCAAGCAGGGTGCAAAACAATTGGTTTTTCGAAAAATCAATTATTGGCTTCAAATCTTGATCTTTCTCCTGCTCTGCTTTAATATCTATACCTGGTTCCACCATCATCAACTTCTTCAGTCACTTTGACTTCAGCTTGATGGCACCTAGTTAGTTCAACCTCTCTTTTAACAGTTACCGGAACTTGGCCTCTGTTGCTCCCAAACCTCATTTTATCAAAATTAATTACAAACTTCCTCAGTAGTAAGTAGTCCAACCCTAATATGCATTGGTCTTCAATGTCAGCCAAGTACTTTGTGTCTTTCCTT